TGTTTATTGGTCCAGTGGTGAGGATTTTTGTTTTCTTGACATTGAGATGTAATCCATATCGAAGGCTGTGCTCTTTGATTTTCATAAGTAAATGTTGCTAGTCCACCTCACTTTCAGCAAGCAAGGTTGTATCATCTGCATATCGCAAGTTGTTAATGAGTATTTCCTATTTACTGTTTATCTTATTCACTCAAACAGAGCACACACAATATCAACTAATGTGGATAAATTAAAGATGAAATTTTAAATCTTTCATTAAATTTCAGGAATTTTTGATAATTAAGTTTGTGAAAAAATCTTATGACACAGACAAGTTCATTAAAATTGAGAATGAAGGTTGGGAAAAGTTGGATCAATCAATTGTTGAAGAAGAGATAATTGAAAATGATGATGATTTTCACAGAAGGGTTTAAATAGAGAATGACTTGAATGAAAAAGACTTAGAGAAAATTGATTTTCCCCATCAAAATGATTACAAAAGGCCGAAGTAACATGTAACATTACATGTAGAGTATTAGCATACAATTTTGTCAAGAAAAATAAAATGATGCTCAAAAAATCCTACTGGTATTGATACAATATTAGTTTATTATAAAAATTAGAATATAATGGCATTTGTAACTTAAAATTATTCAAATAAGACAAAACAATCTTATAATTTTAGTATTATCTTTCAAAATAATCCAAATAATGCTTTACCCAATATTTACAGTATTTCTTTTGTTCTCATATGTGAATAGCCTTATATGAGCTTTTTTCCCAGAACGAATTTTCCTTGGCTAAAAATAACACTTGTAATTAGTAAATATTTTTGGTTTATGTGAAAGAACACTGGTTATAAATGAGGAGAAAATTTGATCTGTGTGTACTGGCAGTGAAATGACTCCCTCACCTTTTGAAACTCATAAGGATTACAGGCAGATCCTGGGTTACAAGCATCTAATTTATATGCAACATATAGTTATAAACCAACCCTGTAAAACCTATTACTTTAAAAGTTCAAGATATGTACAATAGTTTGTAAGAGCATATAGACTCACTTTGTTACACAAATAAAACATTATTTTTATTGTGTTGTTATGCTAAAGATGTTCTAGGAAGAGTCCTGGTGTGGTGATCTAGGATAAGCACTGAACTACTAACCACATGGTCGGCAGTTCAAATCCTCCAGCTACTCCTCGGAAATCCTATACGGGGCCACTATGAGTGAGAACTGACTCAAAAGCACTTAACAACCGCAACAACAGTGTATCTGGAAGTGTTTTTTTTATATGTAGAAAGGTACACTATATATTAAGAAAATATAGACTCCTGGTGTGGCACTGTAGGATAAGCACTGGACTTTGAACTACAAGGTCAGCAGTTCAAACCTACCAGCATCTCCATGGAAACCCTATACAGGGTCGCTATAAGTCGGTACTGACTCGATGGTTCTTAACAGCAACAATAACAAGATAAGCATTTGACTAACTGACATTAGATATGAACTGTACCTAAATGTTGCTGTTATTAAATGTCATTGAGTTGGTTCCGACTCATAGCACTCTGTATAGGGTTTCTGAGGAGCGGCTAGTGGGTTTGAACTGCTGACCTTGCAGTCCAATGCATTATCCTGCAGCACCACACCAGAATTGAATTTATAGTTAAATATAACTATAGTTATATTTAACTATAAATTCAATTTAAGGACAAATTTAGTAATTTCATAATCTGGCTACTGCTTGTATATTGTAATTAAAACATTTGGCTAGCCTTTGGTATAGCGAAGACGAACTTTTTTAATGTAGCTATCTTGATATAAACAATGGAGTCCTGTATGATAAATAATGGACTGCTAACCACAAGATTGGCTGTTCAAACCCACCA